CACTTGTTTCTAATAGCTTTTTGTTACTACTAGTAAGGCACCTGTTAATGATAGCGTGGCACTTGTTTCTAATAGCTTTTTGTTACTACTAGTAAGGCACCTGTTACTACTAGCGTGGCACTTGTTTCTAATAGCTTCTTTGTTATTACTAGTAAGGCACTTGTTACTAGTAGCGTGGCACTTGTTACTACTAGCTTCTTGTTACTACTAGTAAGGCACTTGTTTCTAATAGCTTTTTGTTACTACTAGTAAGGCACCTGTTACTACTAGCGTGGCACTTGTTTCTAATAGCTTTTTGTTACTACTAGTAAGGCACCTGTTACTACTAGAGTGGCACTTGTTTCTAATAGCTTTTTGTTACTACTAGTAAGGCACCTGTTACTACTAGAGTGGCACTTGTTTCTAATAGCTTTTTGTTACTACTAGTAAGGCACCTGTTACTACTAGCGTGGCACTTGTTACTAGTAGCTTCTGTTCTGCCAAAGCCTCAGTTTTCGTTCACCTGAACCAAATTCACCTGAAGGAAGAGCTGACTGGGTCACCTGAACTGGGTAACCTGAAGTGGGTAACCACTTGAAATCTCCAACTTGGCCCACACACATTGGCATCATCGCTGAAATTCCCTGGCATTCCGAGTCAGGAAGCTTTGCCCGTTCACACCCAGGGCCCGGGACCCCAGCGCTCCAATCAACCAAAAGCAAAAGAAGGATCGATCGATTTCTGAACAAACCATGACCATTTGCTATTCCAACGACAAGAAAGCAGTTGACATTACATTCGACATACAAAGTCCAAAGGGTGTTTTCCCAAATCGACTGGGTGTTGACTTGAACCCATTCCTGAAACCCTCGTTTTCGCACAATCTTCTGCGGCCTCCATCTGATGCTGAAATGGCCTCAAGGTCTGCAGGCTCGGCAACATCTGAACATAATTGCACCAGAACCTTTTAGAGCGGCCATCATGCTGCATCTGAGGTTTCAGTGAGGCTGGTCAACCAATTGTAATTAGAGTCTCTCTGAGAAAACTGAGCAGCACATTACATTCATTTGCTGAATCATTGGGCATGGTATGCTGGGACCCCCGCATGTTTCACAAGTAATAGGGCGAGGATCACCTTTGAGCGGCACACGCAAGCAGTACAAAACAGCAACACAGTGGTAATTAGTGAACATATATATATATACACATACATGTTACACATATAAAGATTATAAATACATGAATCACATTTAGGCCCTTTGAAGATCCAGGTGTAGCTCATAAGTGGAACATCCAAGCAGTCCAAACCATTTTTGGTTGCCATGGGCATGCCATGGTGGCAGGATCCCGGGAAATCCCAAAGACTTCACCGGAACCATCGTGCCTCGGACGCCCGCATTGGCAAGCCGGCCTAAAGCTGTCAGGTCAAAACGAAGACGATCACAATCCCAACTGGATGGCCCCCGCCGACTGGGAGCATGTTCTTAGGCTGGCCTTGCTTCCAGATCTTCCAGTACCTTTATGTAAATATCGTTTTCATTCATTTTCATCAGCTCAGGATCACACTGGTGCAGAGTAGAACCTATGGTCCTATGGTGCCAGATTCCAAACACCACAACTCATTCCCTGGCATCTCCTAATTTCCCCTGATCTCCGTGCGTCGCTCTTTTCAATGTCTGCTGCCAAAGTCTGAGAAGCTCAGCTCGTAGTGCTTCGCCGCCGCTTCCTGCACCCGACGGGTCCACGGGGCAAGCTTGTGTGGCCAAGAAGTGAGTAGGAAAGTATGCCCACAGGATGAGAGGAGTCTTTCATCATGAAGATGAGAGGATGAGAGGTCTGCGCAAAGCATGGTGATAGACGCACTTGGTGCCTTATCTTGCTTTGGGCAAAGAGCTACCAAAAATAGGCAACTGATTGTGTAGCGCACTGGACACCAACTAACTAGGACGAGCATTCTGGTCACTATTGACAAACCATCACAAACGGTTCAACCTGCTTAATTAGCTTCCTAAGGTGGCAACTTTCAAGCCGCAACTGGTTGTGGAGTGGTTAATGCTAGCCAAATCCCGTGCATGTGGCATCATAATCCCTCTCCTCTCCCTCGTTGTTTTTGTTCTTTTTTTTCTTTCTCTCTCTCTCTCTATGTGTGTGTCCTCTTCTAATATCCCGCGTCCTCTTCATCATAGAGGGCTGCTCCAAACAGCACAGCTTCCACGCTCAGCCTGCCATTGTGCTGATCAGGCTGCAGGCTGGGCTGTCAAGCGGATCCGTAATCTGGGTAGTGCCCTTTTGGAAAACCGATGGCTTTGCTACATAAGACCATGCAAAATTGTAATTTATCTGGAGCCACAGATTCTCCTCCTGAAACTCAGCCTGCAACTTGGACCGAAACAGCATGTTAACCCTTGGTGGAAGTGCTTGGATTCAAGAGGTGGTTCCAGGCTTCAGGGTTCCAAAAACCTCTTCACGTTCAAAACAAGTTCATAAGATTCAAAAGCTTTTCGTTCATTTCTCTGGCTCTTGACGCCCCATCCACCCTCTGGAAAAGCCGCGTCTCCTCACACGGCCCTGTGGTGAGAGCTGCAACTCAGCTTGTCGCCTTGTCGCCGTTGGAGCTGTGAGCCGATCGTGCTTCTTTTCGTCGCGCTAGCATACAGAACACATCAAGCTGAAAAAGGAATTAACATGACAGTTGTCAAACTTGCTTCACATGAACTTTTTCTGTCACAAGAACATGCATGAGAAACATATGAGAGTTTTGAACACCAAACAAAGCGCATCCTCTCTTTTCTTTCCGTGATAACATGTCGGAACTCTGATGATGATGATGATGATGATGATGATGATGATGTCTTGAGAAGCTCCAGCTCGTGAACCGCTAAAGGATCTAAAGGATCCACTACTGAGAAGCTCCTCATAGCAAGGGCCAGTCGCTCGCGCAGCAACTCTGATAAAGTTCCAAACAGCTCCGTGGCACGCACCTGTCGCCCAGGGCATGGCTTACCAGTGAAGAGGTTTACAATTGGATGCAAACCTAACAGGTGAATGTAGGCATGGGCTGATAGGTACAAAATTGCAAGTCACCACAGTACCAATCTTGGGATGAAGTTGGGCATGGCTTCTGGCTCGTGGGGCAGCTCTGTCTCTTAGAGACTCTTGCGAGGGATGAGCTTGCAACATCCAGTAGCTGCTTAGTTCCCAGTGTATCAAAGTCGGTAGACCTCCCAGTGAGACCTCCCAGGCGACCCTCCATGGAAGGTTCGGAAAATAGATAGCACAAGTCATTGGTGGTGGGGAGGGGGTTCCCCATTTTTTTTCTTCCAAATAATTCCAGCTCTGGTTCAGTGCACGCAGCACCAGTTGGATCCACTCATCCCACCTCGGCGGCTTGCATGACTTCTTGACTGGCGCCCCTCACCAGCTCGACCTGAGATGCGAGTTGTTCAGTTCGACCTGAAAGACTCACATCTTAAGACCTCCCAAAGCATTTGCCCAGGCTTTGGCCAAAGCTTTTGGAGCTTGAAGCTACTAGGGGCTCCTGGCCATACTACTAGGAGCAAGGACGCTACTAGGGGCTCCTGGCCATACTTGAGGAAAGGCAAAGGCGGCAAAAAGGAGTGCCGGAATGACAAAGGTGTCACCTCCTTTCCACCGTGGCCCAGCGACCTGTTCTTCTGGATCCATGTCAGTCACGTACCTTACGGGACGTCCGCACAGTTGGGACAGTGGATGGACTGAAAATCAGATTTGTATGGTTATTAGGTATGGTTATACGGTTATGCCCATCTGAAAATCACCGAAAGAACAGATTTGCATCATCAACTGGATGCTTCAATGGTTTCGTTGTCTCTTCTTCTCTCAAACAGGGCCCTTCACAGCTTGGTCAGAAGTCTTGTGGTGACCCTGGTGACACTGCACGGACCGACTATAGCATGATTGCTATCATTGAGCTGAGCTGCTGCTCCAAGGACTTGTGACCAAGCCTCGGAGTTCGTCCAAAGCTTACGGCTGAGACAAAACATGTCGCCCACTGTCAACCTTGGCCTACTGTCAAAAGCGACACAAAACCGCACACACACACACATCCACCTATATATATATATATATGTCTCTTTGCACTCATCTCTTGCCTTCAACAGTTGGGCACCTCAAGGTGCTGGTGACTGATAAAACATGGTACTTTGCTGGCCATGGATGATTGAGCATGATTGCTCTTGACTTTTGAACACTTCGCATGTTTTGATCCGGACTGCATGCCCAGAGTGCCCACAGGGCAGCCAAAGCACATGATCCTCTCCAATCGCAGCCGCTGCTGGCACCGTCGCAAGAAGTATCCAAATCTGGAGGCTGCCACAAACTGCTGCCGCGCCAAAACAACGCCAAGGGCAGCCTCAGCTGATTGCCGAGTCCGCAAAGAATCGTCTTGTTTACATGCTGATGTAAATTGCTTCGGAGACTTTCTAGAACTTTTGACATTGGACGCGATCATGTGCGATTTATAGCATGAAGAACATTGTGCAACATTCTCATTCTCAACATTTCTCAACAACCAAGGAAAGACAAGGAAGAATGGAGCAAAAATGTCGAGTCAGGAATGGCCTCCATCTGAGATCCTTCCGGTGCGACCTCCTCTTCTACGACCTTGGCCCTCTGCTGAAACTCTTCCACTGGAGCCTCTCCAGCAACCTGCAAACGTGAAACAAGCAGGTGAAATAAGCACGTGGTTGCTTCAAAACTTCAAAACCAAAGAGTTAACTGGAACAGTTGCAATGACCACCCGGCATGTACCAGCAGGTTTTCAAGCAACCACGACCTGTATAGGTAGTCGGACAGCCACTGCAACCATTTCTTCTGGTCATTGATCAAGTGGACGGCGGAACTCCTAAAACCTTCCTGCTCAACATCCAACGACCATCAGCATACTAGTAGCAAAGGGCCTCGCTACTAGGAACAAGAACGCTACTAGGGGATCCTGGCCTTACTAGGAGCAAGAAGCTATAGTAGAAACACTATTGTGTGCTTTGCTTTTACCATCAGTTCTTTTCGATGCGTTTCGTCCTTTCGGACGGAGACGACGGGTTGCCGTTCGTCACCTGCTGGAAGTTCCGCAGATAGAGCTCCGCTTGCCAAAAGACTCGGCTCACCGGGCCTCGGGGCGAAGGGGCCACGGTCTGTCCATGGCCACAACACATCCAAAACAAACACACTAGCTGCTGCACTAGCTTTGCAGGACATCATCGGTTGAAGGAGCCGCTTTCAAACCGACGATCTCACCCGAACGGGTCGAGGGTTGCGCCTGGAGACGCTCGGTCCGAGAGGAAGTCCACGATGTGCTCTTTGGCCTCGTCCAGCAAGGCATCCAAGGCTTCGTCAACGTTGTCAGAGGTTTCGCTACTCAAGCGCTCACCTGAGCTTGCACCAAAGAAGACCAAAGGACAAAGGCCACGTCAACACGTGTCGAAGGCCACGACTTAGTTGGCTTCCCGGATGATCTACTTGGAGGGTCTTGAAGGTGAACCTGAATGTATCCTAACAGCTTGCGAGACCTCCAAAGTCATGGTACATCTCTGGCATTGGGCTTCCCTTTACTTTTGTTGGGGCCTCACAACAGGGTATTTGGGGAGCCCAAATTGGGGTGATCTTGTGTGATTCTGTGTGAGCCCACTTTGTGCACCGAAAAATTCGCTCCTCGAGTCCTGGAGTGAGGTCCCCACCGGTCGCCTGCAGGTTGAAACCAGCGACCCAACTGCTTCAAGGCTGCAGAGCTCCTGAGCTTCGCATGGGGACATGTTGGATGCTGAAGCGCTGAAGCCCTACCAATGAAGACTTGATTGAGTATAGGGGGCCAAAGTCAAAGTAAACAAAGAGAGACAAGAAACAGCACTATTCATTATGTTCCCAGGGAAATGACGCGATTCTGAGCAAAGAAATGAGGCGCAAGAGTCGTGCAGCTTCTTCTTGACGCAACTGGAAGTCACCTGGAAACAACCCTGGCTGCCCACAGCAACAAGGTCAAAACCGCCCACTTGCTACTAGTAGCGATGCACTTGTTACTAGACGTCCAATCAATATGTGCAATTTCAAGCTCTTTTCTGTTCACTCCGACAAACACACCTAGAACACGGCATAACACTGTGAAAGGCTGCCACACTTCGTCTACTTCGTCTCCGTCTCGAACCAGCGTTTGTTCTCCAAGTCTGCACGGTCAAGGCTTAGCTAGGCATACACGGCACGTGGCGGGGCTTGGCACCATCTGGCACTCATTGACATAGCTTGGCACTATCTGGCACTGACCTCATCCGTAGATTCCTTCGAACACATCTTTGCGGTGTGGATCCCTGGGCAGAAAACGGTTTTGTTTAATGCTCAAATGGCTCCCAAAGAACGTGAGAATCTTTGGAGTTCCATCGGACTCAAACCAAACAACGACTCGGACCGCTGGAGCCTTCGCCGAACGACTTCAGCAGCTCCCAGGGATTGGGCTCCGGCCTGGGTCACTGGGTCAGTGCGGTGCTGAAGTCAACCAATTCAAGAGGCTCCGCTGGATATTGTAATCTATGTGACCCTTGTCATCAGCAAGGGAAACGTTGACTTGACAAAAAAAAGGGTGAGTGGTCTGACCAAAATATATACAAGGCACTATGGCATGCTTTTCTCCTTTAGCAGCAGCCCATAGCTATGTTTGCTACTGATGGAAGCCTTCCAGACTCGTCTTCTCTCAGAGTGGGACATTCACTGCTCCGCGACCCCACAGCTGCCGTGACCGGGCTCCCAGCGACTCGCCAGCGGCCGCGAGGACCGACACGCCACGGGGAGTTTCCACTCGCGCCTGGACGGGGCATCGGCCGGTGTCCGAGGGTGTCCTACCAAGAGCTCAACTAGCTTCCTCCACAAGGAGGATCGCCGACTTGAATAGATTCTCATGTCGATCCGAGGCCATTTCGTGGTCAATCTAGTTGCTGAAGAGGAGCTCTGGTGCGATCAGCAAGGCCATAGCCACAAAGCCAAACCTCAAAATAGACTGGAACTGCACCGACCTCTTTTTTTGACCAAGCGATTTTCGCACCAGTATCCATGGCATGGTGTTGGAGTTCAATCCGACCCGAACAGCTTCCTTCACGAGGAGGATCGCCCACTTGAATAGATTCTCATGTCGATCCGGTTCTCATGTCGCTGAACTAACAATGTGGAGGAAACAAGCTGAAACAATAAGTGTTGGAGGTGGTATCTGATAATTAGAGCCACTGATATATAAATATCGCTTGCTTGTTGTTGTTCTGTGCACGCTACCCTGTTTCGGAACATGGAGTGTCCACTTCACACTTTTTGGAGACTAAGACTATAACCATAATTGTACATTCATATAGTTTGGCATGTTTTGGCCAAGCAGCTGGCACTCCTGGGCAAAGCAAAGCAAGCGCCACAGTGGAGTGCCATCTCCGTAGCTTGGCTGCCATCACATCTAATTAGGTTGCACTTCTTTTTGTGCAGGTCTATCATCCACCCTCTCAACAAGAACTCCTTGATCTCATTTCCTTGTTGGTACCATGAGGAGCCCACTCTAGTTGTGAAGCACCGCTCTGGTGACCTCTCTCCTGCAGAATCTGCTTGCAAAGAGCGATCCAAGATCTTTAGGTGCTGAACCTGAACCTTAACCTTGGCCTGTAGTTTCTATCCTTGCTTGAGCCCACTGCCAGGTCTCCGGTCCACAACTGGCAGGACAAAATCGTTTCACAACGCAATCAGTGATGGTGAGGGCACTTTGGCCACAATGCAGTGCTACTCTGAGAGGGAAAGATCTATAGCCTATAGCAGCCGCATCCTGAAGAGGAATGCACAGCACAATTCAGGAAATATATATATATATAACACACGATTATCAAAGGGGCTACTGGCTACATAAATAATGATATATGTATATATATAAGTTATATAACAACATATAACAACTCAATACTCAAACTACTGTACATCTGCCTTCTCGCTTGGCAACTCCGGGATACTGGGCTGCCACACCACCTTCGGTGGAGCTCCGTGCCATGAGCACACGATCCGCCGGGCGCATCGTTTTGGACGCCGGCGCGTCAACTCGAGCCCAAAAGGCGATCATTGACACGCGAACAACAGCTGAGTGATCGCTATTCAAACCAAAAGCCCAGAACCATCCAGAACCTCTGAGGTCGTGTGCAACCACAACAATCTTGTTAATGCATCACTCTTTCGCAAAGGCAAAACCACAGCGCGGGATTCACCAAAGCTCACTCGTACATATTGACGCCACATTCATATCGTCCCAAAACAGAAGAATGCAGTTTGCTTCACTCTCACTAGAGTCACTAGAGTCATTGCTTCACTCATTCGGAAGGCTGAATCACCAAAAACGCAACCCAAGGGGTGAACAGTGTACAGGCCGTCGTTGAGAGATCAAACATGGACGGACCGTGCCGACGAATCGAGCGTCGTCTTCCCAAAACCGTGCAACTCGAAAGAACCCAAAAGCAAAAAGCACCAGAAAGCACTGAACGTTGCATCCTTCAACCCTAGGCCCACTTAGGCCTCACTCACATCACTAGTAAAACAGCCCTCCAAATCTGTTCGGAACGTGTCCCCGCCCCGCCCAAGGGTCCTGACCAGCGCGGTGACCGTGTCGCCCAAGCGGTGCAGCAAGGAAAAGGCGCGAGCACGCAGAAACTGCGAACGAACGCGCAGAAACTGCGCTCGTCGAAAGAAGTGTTTGTTCTACAATCCAAGGTCTAATGATCTTGGGGAGATCTTGTTCTACATCAAGTGCAGGACTGCAGGATGCGAACACATGAAACTCTTCGATTTGCACATCAACACCGTCGTTTCGCGCGTTCAGCGCCGGGCCATGAAACGCTCGGTGCTGTCGGTCGCCTCGGGTGCTGCTTTGTCACCACTGAGCTTCGCGGCCAAGGACAGGGCCGTGGGCACCTGGCTGTTCCGCGACTGGACGGAGCTCCACATCGACGGACGTGAGGATGGTCCATGTGTGCCCTACCGAAGTGCAACTGAGTGGTTTAAATCTTTGTTCAAAGCCACATGGAAAACGCCATGTTCAAAAACATCTCTCTCCAACTCAAAGTTTAAAGATCCTGCGCGAAAAATGGACCTTGGCACGGCCACAGTGCTCGGGAAGGAGGGGATCCCACCCAAAGGGGCTGGAGTGGGGTCTTTAAATCGGGTGCAAGCAAAAAGAAAAGCAGCCATAAAGCAAAATCACAAACCCCACAGAGTGAGGTAGGGCAACCACGAAGCTGCCTCGGATTTGGTACTGAGACAACTTCATCGGCGAATCAATCAAGCTGTGCACAGCTGGACAGGTCTTTGCGATTCGCAATACAAAGAGCGAACACATGGCTGGTGGATACGGTCCAGCAATTCTGATTCCAATTTACAGATTCCAAACTGAATTCTAGATGGCATGGTCGCTTGTCCCCAACTCAATTCTAGATAGATGCCTCTCAGTTGAGTTCGTCTTGGGGACAAGAAGAACCAAACAGCAACCAGCTCTTTGCTGCACAACGCAGCAACCTGCACAACGCACGGTCCTTTTGCTCGCCTTGATAACGAGATGGATGTCGGATGCCAAAGTTCCAACAAGCCAGCGATGACATATATACGTTCCAAATGAAGTGATTTGGGTCTCCTCTTTGTCATAGTGCCCCCCCTCTTCAAAAACCACAATCAGCCGCAAAGCACTATGAACCAACACTGCATCCCCGTGGAGCGTGGAACTTTGGGCGCTACAGCGTCGTTATGACATCTATAATAAGCTCAAACAATGTTCTTTCAGTGAAACGAACGGCTGGATGTGTGGTCACTCGGACTTCTCGCTAGGATGAGCCTTTGCTGGACGGGGATGGTGCAATGGGACCCGACTGATCTAAAACTTGCTTATGTTGATCTGGTGTGCTAAAGTTTAACACCTAATATCAAATCAGCTCATGCGTACAACAACAGGTACATCATACATAATCATACCTTTACACTCACTCACTCTTGGTTCTCTCTGCGAGCGGTAAGCTTCTGCAACGCAAAGCCCTAGCCTTGCAAACAAAGAGCGGGCGGTATCTGACCGCAGTTTGAGATCAGCACTGTCGCAATGGTGGAACCGTCGGGTGTGCCATAGCGATGCACCTGGGATCTGGGATGAAGAGATGCTGAAAAGAATTGAAAAGCATTGAAAAGCAGTCCTTTTCAACACATAGTGACTAGTGGTCTGTATTTGGTCATGCACATAATTTACATTATCCAAAGTTCATGATGAACGCATCCAAGGCAACTTTGCCTGTCAGCCGAGCCAAGGAACTTGATAAATGACATCCTCACCACTCAGCACCTGTCCAAAAACCACGTGCTTCTCATCCAAGTAATGCATCTTGGCGCTCCTAGCAATGGAGTTGAGTGGGCTGCTTGAGGAATGTACCCTTTGACTGCACACCTTGACAAACCATCCAATATCCAAATAACACCACTCCCAAGACGCGGGTAGCTGATGGCCTCATTTCTTCCCTCAAGCAACATAGCCAATCCTTTCTGCCAAGAGTCGTTATGAAGAATTGGGAGGAATTGGTGTTCGGTCCAGCATTGGCCATTGAGAGCAACATAGGTTTGCTGTGCATGATGACCTGACAAATCTGCTTGATGGCCTGCCAACAACCCCTTGGTTTATCCTGGCCGCTTGAGGGTCCACTTTTCGGGAATGTGACTCAGTTTTCCTCGCCACCTTGGTTTCGCAACACATTCAGCTTTTCTGCAATAGCCATCGGTAGATTCTGCAATAAATAGCCCGGATTGCAAGCTGCAAGAACAACGAACGACATGGGTGGATTGACTAGGAGTGTGTAGCACACCATGAACTTGAAGCTAAGGGGCAAAAGTGCTCTTGAGCATGCTGTTTTACTGATGTTGGCAAAACACAGGATCTCCCAACCGAAACGTGGACTCCACCGATTTTGTCATTGTTCCCACAGCGGCTCAAAGGCCACTGAGGTGCTCCATGATCGAACTCATCGTCGAAGCGGGGGGCCATAGATACTCTCGCCACCGGTACCGTCGCCATTCACAAAGTCACCTCCTTGACCTCAAAGCTTGAGACAAGTGTTTAAAGTCGGATAGAGTATATAATCGTGTACGTCGAGAAGTTGGACGATTTCATTTGCAAACTTCTTCATGCTCCTGCTGGCTTTGCACATGAAAGAAGAATCCAATCGAATGCAGAATCACCTGTGATACTCTCTCGCCTGCACCTTTCTTACCTCAAAGATCCTCCAAGCACTGCTAAGGTTAAGGGCTCTTCTATGCCGTTCTAAGGACGCTGAACAGGCTGAACCCTGATATCCTTGGCTGAGGTCTGGGCCAACGCCATGAGTTACTTCTATATTCCATATAATATATGTATATACTGTATATATTATCCACAATTATCCATATATCTACCATAGAGCTCCAAAGCATATCAAAGAATCTCGTAGAAGGTCGACGTTCTCCAAAGCGCCAAGCAAGGAGCAAACCAAGCCTGGTATGATCCGATGCATAGGGCCTTGGTGGCTTCAAAGTCCACAGAAGTGCTTCGATCCGATGCATAGCTTCAACCACTGGCAGCTTCAAACACATGTTGAAAACCACATTGAAAGAACATAAAAGAACCATATATAGAAATCACACAAAAGTTATATATGTCATATATATATGCCATCAAATTACTGGTTACGGTTTTCACCAGGTCTTCGGTTGAGGGACACAACTTGTAGTGCAATGGCCGTCCAAAGGAGCCGATGCCTTTCCTTGGAGGCGCCGAACGGGCGGCCGTCGTTCACCCTAGTCCACCGGTGTCGTTCATCACCAGAGTCTCGCCAGGCCCAAAACAGGGGAGTCTACAATCGCAAAGCTACAGTCGTTAGGTTCCTAGTAGCTTCTTGTTACTACTAGTAAGGCACTTGTTACTAGA